GGTAAATCTCCAGAAACTGATTTTAATGAAATAAAGATAAGTAATTTATCTGATAGGGAGTTCAAAGTCATGGTCATAAAGATGGTCACCAAGGTCAAGAGAGCAATATATAAACAAAGTATTTCAACAAATAGACAGAAAATATTAAAAAGCACCAAATAAATCACAGAGCTTGAGAATATAATCACTGGAAAGAAAAATACAATAGAAAGGTTCAACAGCAGACTAGCTTAATGGAAGAAAGAATCAGTGAAATTCAAGATAGGGTAGTGGAATTCATCCATTCAGAGGAGCAAAAAGAAAAAGAAATATTAACCCTGTCCCTTAACACTGATGGTGTAGAATTTCCATTACAAGTCTAGGCTGCAGGCAATGTTACCTGTACTATAAACTGTTCTAATAGAAAGTCTAAAAGAGTTCTTAGAAATCGTTAAGGAATTGGTTACAAGACCAGGATTTTCCCCTACACATGTAGCTTCATTTGTCCAGACCAACTGCAATTTGCTTTCCAACTATGTAATACAATATATTCTCTATATATGGAAATCCATTCATATACTCGCACAAAAGTCAACTTAGTCTGAGACTTTAGTATATTCAGACACAGTTCTAGAGGCTTCACCATATAGCTATACCATTAATTCGAATTATCTAATTCAACCATCACAATAAATCAATGGAGTGGGTACTATGTGCCTCATTTTAGAAAGTATAACTTGGTGGCATCGGAACTAAAATAACTTGTCCAGGAGATCTCACAGCCAGGAAACAGCAGGGTCAAGATATGATCCTGGCCCCAAAGCAGCTATTCTAATGGCTGTGACACCTGAGTTGTTCTCCCATAGAATACAATGTCTCACCACAAAAAGGAACTGTTCCAATTTTCCTCTCATAAAAATACATATTTTTATATATAAGTATGACAAAGGTCAAGAAGGCCCTCTTGGTGGCATAAGTCAGCTTGTTGCAAACATATAGATAATCCGAAGGGCATGATAGATGGAGGCTTGGAAAACAAGAATACATACCCTAACAGCAATGAAAATGGTAATATGATGACCCTTAGCTACCTGAGGGTAGCCCAGTGTCTCTGTCAGCAAAAAAGACTGAACATGCACTTCCAACACAGACTGTGCACAAAACATGCTGTTGAATCAGCTCCAACCCCTGGAAACTCTATGAATGAGTTATGTTCACTGTGTCCTGCCTTCAACAGCCCTGCTCAGAAAATTGCATGCATGTGCTATTGTCAATTCACAAAATAAAGATAGGAAATCTTAATTTATTTCTAAACTAGAGGCCCAGTGGATGAATTCATGCATGGGTAGGGTCCCTCAGCAAGGCCTGCAGGGATTGGTCTGAAACTGGTAGTCCAATGCTGCCTGCTGCTCCTGCTCATCCCGGCCTCACTGTGCCTGCCGCAGGCTCACACTCAGTCAGTCTTGATTGGGAGAGGCTCACGCCACCATAGTGGCATTCACCAGCCATGAGCCCTGCATTTGGCACCCGTCCCAAGGTGAGGAGGGGGGCCCAGGACACAATCAGCCTTCTGGGCGGGCAGTAAGACACCCTTGCTGGCCCAGAATCAGTATCTGTCCCGCTGACTTTCGCACCTGTTGTCGAGAGCCACCTGGCGGCGGCTTTCATATTATTTCTTCCTTGCGGAGCATCTAGGGAGGGGAAGTGGCCATAGTGCCTGAGGTCAACTTCCAGGAGTTGTGCCAGTAGTGCCAGTCCATCGGAGCCTGACCCATTCTCTGGAGATTGGACCTACAGGACACTGAGGGAGTGAGTAGCTGCCGCCGGGGCTGGTGGGCCTCCAGTATGGGTCGCTCAGCTGAGTGGCATTCCTGCTGGGGGAGCGCACTGACCACCAGGGGGCAGCTCCTGCATTAAGCGTCTGCCCCCCGGTGGTCTGTGCATGTCATAGCAACAGGCCAACCAGTCGTTCGGTTGCTTAGCCTTTTATCGGGTCTAGTAATAATTAATGTCGTTTTTAAACATTCGTTTAAAATCTTGCTTGGCGTTGACTTGTATTGACATAACCTTCAAACACGTGGTATCTACAGAACGTGTGAAGTGCAATTAACAAGTTTTGCTTGAAAAAGTTTGTGTTTGGTTTGGTTTTTGTTGCAAAACTAGGGCTAAGAAGATGGCGGATGAAGAGCATATTCGGCACTGCATGCTTTACGAGTTCCAATTAGGAAGAAAAGCAAGTGAGGCTGCAAAAAACATCTGAAGTGCTCTTGGTCAAGATGCAGTTAGCGCCAGAAAATGCCAGCGATGGTTTGAGAAATTTCGCGAGGGAAGTTTTTCGTTAGATGACAAGAGTGGTCGAGGCCATGTGTCCAATTTTGATCAAGAAGCTCTTCAAGCTCTTTTGGTGCAAAATCCTCAAATTACCCAACAAGAGCTTGCGACAACTTTAAATTGTTCACAAAAAACAATTTCCAATCAATTGCGTGCACTTGGCAAAGTCCAAAAGTTTGGAAAATGGGTTCCTCATGAGTTGACCGACAACAACCGTAATTAAAGAGTCACAATTTGCAGTTCGCTCCTCTCTCGTCAAAACCGTTTGCCGTTTTTAGAGCAAATTGTTACCGGAGATGAAAAATGGGTGCTGTATGTTAATTTGAAAAGGCGGCCTCAATGGTTGGACAAAAATGAGGCTCCACAGCCCACGCCAAAACCTGACTTGCATGCGAAAAAAGTGATGTTGTGTGTTTGGTGGAATTCTTCATTATGAACTTTTACCATCTAACCAAACCATTACAAGTGCAGTGTATAGTGCCCAATTGGAAAGGTTAGCCCAAGCTTTAAGAAATTATGAAAGCTTTAGGTCTTTGTTAAAAATGGTCCGCCTTCCAAATAATAATAAAACACCCCAAATGCTATTGTTAGGGTTTCCTTAAAAGCCGCGAAACTTAAGAGAATGAAGATCCTTAGCCAAAAAACATATATATAAACACACACATAGTTTCCAAAAATGTATACACACTTTAACTGCTAATAAGTCATTTAATTTTCACTCCTTTTCATGTTTAACTGATTTGAAATAATGGGTGAAGCCAGACTAAGTTTTTAATAAAGAAAATTTATCCTAAAGTGCCACTAGACTTTTTTTTAATGGGGATACTGAAAGACAAAGTTTACAGCACAAAACTGACAACAGTGGATGAATTGAAGGCACACAAATACATAATGAATGATTCTTGATGTTTGCAATTCCACTGCTTTGCATTATCAGCAGTGCCTGGACCAGATCAGTCATCAGTTTGAAAAGAGACATTGACAAAAAGAAATTATTCATTTCTTTAGATTCTTTTAAATTTTAAAAATGAACTGTATATTACTAAACACTGACTTTATATTCATCCAAAGTGTGTATACATTTTTAGGACACCCTGTATACTGAGTGGCCAGATTATTATGATCTCTGAGTACATAATAACCTGGCCACTCAGTGTATATCCTGTATAATAAAAGGCTAATATGCAAATTGTCCCCTTGACCAGAAGTTCGACCAGCAGGCAGGCCAACCAACCGCCCATGTCCCCTCCAATTGGACAGGATGGCTGGACCCCACCCATTCACAAACTCATGCCCCAGGCCAAATTATTATGCACTCAGAGACCATAATAATCTGGCCATTCAGGGTATATATAATTAATTCACATATGAATGCACATATATGAAGATATTTATATGAATATACATATGTATGTATAAATATTAATAAATTTTCTTATCCAGAAACATTTTTCCTTCTATATATGTATGTAGGAGAATTAAAATAGTGATATATAGATTGTGCAATTCCTTGAATGTCTAAGGATACAACCTTCATTCACTCAACAAATACTTCTTGAGCACCAGTTATCTTCTAAGCCCTTTTCTAGGACCTTGAGGATAACAATGATAAGAACAGACACCACCCACTCCCTCAGGGAGCCCACCCATGCACACCTATCAATCAGCTATTATACTGTGCAGCACACAGGAGTCAGACATGCTTAATGCTGAACTGGGCTTGTGACTTCTCTCATTTGAAGTCTTAAAAAATAAGAAACATTCTTAAGCGTCCAGGAGAGTTTTAGTATATCCCTGATTAGCAAAAAGAAACAGAGATCCTCTTTGATTGTAACTATGGCCATATAATTCTGCTTACAAAAATCATACCTCTTTACCTACAGTAGTGCATTTAATGTTATTCATGATCAAATTTAAATCAACCTGTAACAGTCTGCCATTTTCAATCTATTTCCAGATTTTTATCAGGAAGCAAAAACTCATGAAAATAGCATTTTTCAACCACAAAACTAAAGTCATGGGAAGAACACAGGAAAGCAGCAATAGTATATGTCATGTTCAAAAATATACAGAGCAACATCTCTGTAGTTCCAACAAAATTATGTCATTTGTGCCACATAAAAAGCATCCATTGAACAGTTTAGCCTCATGCCTCGTATGGGCTTATGTACAACATCATCTCTGCTCACACATTCCAAATGGTTGGTGTTTACAGTCTATTCAGTCTTTTCATAAATAAGAGGCATCCAGTGGTAACTCCAGAAGTTAGTACAAATATATATGAATCCTTGCAGTGACACTGACATTTTTAAAGCTGTCAGCACAATGGTTACATTTCCTTCATGGCCACATTTTGTCTAAATGTCCCACAGAGTTGGCTACATGCTCTTCACTGCCCATGACTCCACCTACTTGGACACAGGCAGTAATATCCCCTTCTCCCAGCAAACGTGCTGAGGGAAGTGGAGTCACAGCCCAGAGCAGCTGACTCACAAGCCTTCCACAAAGAACAGCCCTTTTCTCCACCGCCTGGAACAGAGATGGAGAAACCAGCCCAGAGATGAGTGGCTCAGGACCTCAGGAAAACCAGCCAACAGATCAGGGCTTGGGTCACAAGTGGGTAGGAAAACAGACAATAAATTGTAAGACATATTCTGAACTTGACACAGAGAGGAGACATGAAGACTCACCTTTAAGTGAAGAATGTCCCAAGACAGTCCACCCAAGAGGCAACTCCAGATGGGTCAGTGCCTGCACAAGTTCCTCGTCCAAAGCAGGCAGCGCTCCCACCGTCAGGGCAAACGGGGTCAGCAAGGTCTGATGGCTGCTGGCAGTGAGGCGATCGGCCTGGGTGACCAGCAGGCGGGCCAGCCTGCAGGCCATGTTGTCCACGTAGGTCACGGAACCCGAGCCCATGGTCACCGGGGAGTAACCTTCTGAGCAGAGGCACACGGACACCGTCACCGTCTCCTGAAGCCCGTGGCCTGGACGACAAGACAGCGAACAGTTCACCCGGAGTCTGTGCGAGATGCTGTCACCTGCCTCACCGCTCTACCTACACAGACCACATGCTCCAGGAGACGGAGGCAGAAAAGGAACACAACCAGTTACTTTTAAATGTTGCCGAGCCTGTAGGGCCAAATTAAAGCCAACTCATCTTCTTGCAGTGACGCCTGATTTAAAGCCAACCTTCATGAACTCTGAGCATTTCGGAATCTATTCTCTAAAGATTACCAGACACTGTTATTTGGCATACTTCGCCTTTTCCATCTACCCCACCCCCTGAATTCAAGTTTTTCATCTTAAAGGTCTCTGCCCTTTTCTGCTCTCCTCTTTCCTCCTGAGACACACATTTTTATGTACTTATTTAGATGACAGTTTTATGAAATAGCACAACATGGTGAGCCAAGTTCACCCTCATTCCACAGAGCTCCACTGAATATGAGTCGGGACGGGTAATGACGACTCAAGAGAAACATTTATATATATTGTTCAGTGTCTCTCCCCTCTCCCCCCCCCCCATGTCTGACAATGGTCTCTCTGTCTTGCGGGTGTTCTTATCACCCCTGTTGTGGGTGGTCACCTAATCCTGCTGTCTATTCCCCCTCTCTTCTTTCATCTTGCCAAGGTTGGTGAACTTCTGTCTTTATACTACCCTTGGCAGAATTTCCAGGAATTAGTACCACCCAATCTCTGTAATTATGGTAATCATAGCTGGACAGAAGGTTAGCGTTCAGTCACCACTGGTCCCCAAGCATATGCCTAATGCACGCAAGTCATTCCTGCTCTGTCTTACTCTCCAAAGCCTTTCCCCAAATGCGATGCGCCCAGGCCTCAAGGAACAAGAGCATCCCAGGTTAGTAAGCAGGGACTACTGCCATTTTCACATTGACTTTTTTTAAATGGTCTAATGTGCTGGCACAGAACACAGCCCCCTCCTCAGCCCACGTCTGCCCAATATGTCACACAGAAATCTGTCCTACATACTTCTGAACGGTTACCCAGGGAAATGTAAGGCTCAGAGACAGGCACTGCCACCTATTGAAGGTAAAAACCCTCACTTCTAAGCAGGCCACAATAAGGTTTTATTTATTTGTTTGTTTGTTTGTTTGTTTATTTTGTAAAGATGGGAGTTGTTGAACCAGAGAGAGAAGTACTTAAAAGTGCCCACAGAACAACATATGGATTCAAGCCCAGGTAGCTGGAAGGTCTTTGTACATCTCTACAGTTCTTACTATGCCTACATTCACATGTTTACTGTCTGCCTTCTTTCATCAAGGAATATACACACCAGAAGCACTGAGAACATTTTTTCTCTAAAATGAGGCCAATCTTACAGATAAGAAAATTTGATGTTTCTCAGTGCCCTATGATACGATTTAAGAGTAACTCAAAAACCCAATGTTAAATAAAACTTAACAATGACAAACAGAAACTACAAAACCCAGCTAGAGCTTTCTGTCACAATGTACAACCCACACCCCAGTGAAAACACAAAACAATTGTATTTGAAATGGGCCATTAGCTCGTGATAACACATTAACATGACATAGCAGTTTGTCATCTGTCACCATGGTGATTGAAGAAGATATCTGGGAGAATTACAGATTTTAGAACATAACAGGTTGGGTGGTGGGAAGAGAAAGTTCTGGAGGCTGAGATCCAGCAAGGAAGCATCTGGATGGACAGGGTGCCAGGTAAGGAACCCCAGCCACCAAAAGGAGCGAGCAGGGAGAGGCAGACCGTAGGCCTGGACTGGCCACAGGGAATGAGGAAGGGAGAAAGAAGACAGATTCAACGTCCGTCTGCCTGAGCCAACCCTGGCAATGGGACTGGGACTACAGGAGGTGATCCCAAGATACAGTGACACCTCCACTGCACTGCATCCAAAGCACACCCAGCGTTGAGAGTTGATGGAAGGCTAGCTGCTCAGAGAGCTGCAGACACAACTGGAAGAACCTGGGACGGGAGCTAACCCTCCCTAACACACACAGACACATGCACCCTCACTCACTCATTTCTGGGAAGCGCCGTTGACTTTCTCTCCCTGGCTTTCTTCCCAGCCTCTGTCCCTGGTGGGAAGACGCTTACAGACAGATTTCCCAATGCTCAGTAGGGAAGACACCTCACCTGGAATGCTGGACTGGAGAACGTTGTCCTCTGTGCGCTCGGCAATCATCACGTGCCTCTGCTGAGATCCGTTATAAATAAAGTAAAACTCGGCGTCTTTAGGAAGATAGACATTTTTGTCAAACTTCGCACAGACCGTCATCTGCCCCTGAAAAATGAACAAGGTGGGGCATCATCACACTTGCTCATCCTGGCTCTGGGAAACCGGGGCAGTCTGTCATGTTCACTTCTCGTGAGAGCGCTCAAATAGTACGAATCCGTCTTTTCAACAGCAACGTTTGGGTGCTTTCTGATATACTGAAATATGAGTGTCAGAGCTGGTTTGTTCTGTTTTGAACATTGAAGGAGTTTAGAATGTAGTGAAGGTATTTTTCTGGTTCATTTAGGTGATGTGGAAACGTGGCACTTTGTCTTTTACTCTGTTTGAATTGCTACCTGATGAGCAGCATTACTTGTATTCATTTTTTTCTTCTCCCTGAGACACCACCCTGGCATAAAGATTCAAAATGATTATTCTTTAGCTATGGCCCTACCCTGGACTACACTCATCAGAGTCTGTTGTGAGAACCTTAAGTGTTCGCACATGTTGCCAAATAAATAGCCACATGTTACCACGCTCGCAGAGCCTTTTCCAGTAGCTATTTGTCCTCTCTGAGGGATTTCCAAGTCCTCCCTCTCATCTGGCCTGGCCTCATTCTTCCTCTTGAGAGCTTCTGGTTGGACAGGCGCTGCCGCCCTGAGCCACCAGGGCACACTCTGAGGAAGGAAGGCGTAAGGAGGAAGCAGGCACAGCAGGCTGATGCTCTCCAACACAGGACCATGGTGGGGTGGGGAGGAGGCTGTGAGGAAGGGCTACATCAGCAGTGCTTTCAAGAGAGCACCAGCGATGGAGGAGCCTGCCAGTTGATCTTGGGACTTTGGAGGATTCCAGACACTCCCTTAGCTCAAACATAAAATGGGTAATACATAAAATGGGGACCTCCAGGGAGAGGGTGCGTTCTGCCCAGCCTGTGGGAAGTGCCGGGAAATGGAGTCCAGGAGGTGGGAAAGGTTGCTCTCTCTGGAGGCCTCCTGAGCTCAGCCAGTGTGGAGGCGCACCTGGGCTTCTGGGTGCCGGCCCACAAAAACAAACCCACCTCTGAACACGCCTCACCCTGGGATGCGGGGAAAGGGAACAGAGAAAAGCAAGGCAGTCTCTTTCACAGCTGCTTGCCTTTGATGGACATTAGCATGTTATTCCCTAGGATCTCAAGAGTCAGGCGGATCAGTATCAAAACCAGAATCAAACTGGAGCTCCAATTTCCAGTCACCACATGGTCAGCTCTTCTAAAATGTTAAAAATAAGAAGGCTATGTTTTTCTAGTAGTTTGCGATCCACACCACGCATGAAATATTATCTTAAATTTTGGATTGGTATAAACACAAAATGTGAAGTTCTTTAAAAATAAGTCACCAGTTCCCAATTTTGAATGGTCCTGTCTCTGCGTGAGTTTGCACACACGCGCACAAACATAATCAATAGAAAGTAACATGCCAAGAAAAATCTTCCATACAATAGCTTCAAAAAAAAGTCCAGGAAGAGGATCTGAAAAGCAAGAAAAACAATAACAACAGTCTGACATGACTGAGAGAGGAAACTTAGATGAAATTCCATTTCCTAAAAAAGGAAGAACAGCTTGCTTTAGTCATGCTCCTGGTTGCTAAAGGGGCTGTTAATGACTCACAGACAGAATCTGGCCCGACCTGCTGATTTATTTTTTTTAATAGAAAACATATTGTGTAAATAGATCAAAGTTTTTCACAGATCACAAGGATATCTAGTCTGTATCTATTCAAAACAATGATCATATTACTATATTATCTGATTGGGTGAATAAGAACTGCAACTTATGAAAGAGCTTAACTACAACCCTTTTCAATGTGATCCAAGACAGTAGTTTTACAGTTCAGTTATGCCTCCCTTTCAAGACCATACCATGCTTTACATTGATAAAAGACGATAAACAACAGTCAGGTCAGAAACTATACCTGTCCATTAAAGAGAGATGCCCAGAATTCCTGGCATTAAGAATAATATTCAGCATAAAAGGGAGTTATTATTTACTAATCAGCAGGACATGGTATAATTACAGAAGTAGGAAAGGGGGTGATAAAAAAAAAAAAAGAAAAGAAAAAGAAAGAAAGAAAGAAAACCAACAGAGAGAGACTCAATGAGAGAGAAGAAGGGGAGGGGAGGAAGGAAGGGCACAGAAATGGCAAAGAGAGAAAGAGGAAGACAGGAAAGAAAATGTGGTCTCATACAGCTTAACAAAAGGAAGGTAAACGACCTCGTCAAAAAATGGGCAAAGGACCTAGACAGACACTTCGAAAAGGACATACAGAAGACCGAGAGATATATGAAAAAATGCTCAAAGTCACTACTCATCCAAGAGATGCAAATTGAAACAGCACTGAGATACCATCTCACACCTGTCAGGTGGCTATCAATAACAAATCAACAAACAACAAGTGCTGGCAAGGATGTGGAGAAAAAGGAACCCTTTTACACTGCTGGTGGGAATGCAGACTGGTGTAACCACTGTGGAGAACAATATGGCGTTTCCTCAAAAAATTAAAAATAGAACTCCCATTTGACCCTGCGATCCCAGTTCTAGGAATATATCCCAAGAAGCTGGAAACACAGATCAGAAAGGATATATGTACCCCTAAGTTCATAGCAGCACAAAGAAAGAACTCTGACCATTCGCAACAGCATGGATGGACCTGGAGAGCATTATGCTAAGTGAAATAAGCCAGTCAGAGAAAGATAAATATCACATGATCTCACTCATTTGTGGAATATAATGAACAAAAGTAGATCCAGAGACACAGAAGCATCAAACAGACAGCCAAACCTCAGAGGGAAGGCAGGAAAGGGCGGGAGGGTAGGGGTAAGAGATCAACCAACGGACTTGTACACCTGCATATAAGCACAACCAATGTGCTGGGGGGTGGGAGTGGCTGGGTAGAGGTCAATGAGGGAAAAATGAGACATATGTAATACTTTTTCAACAATAAAGAATTTACATTTTTTTAATGTGACCTATGAAAGAACATTTTCATTCAGAAAAATTAAAGTTCAAAGGTTTAAATATCACTCCAAATGAGTTCAGTAGGAGGAATGGGCTTCTCCAACTGTGCTGAGGACCCAGGTACAACATAATCAGCCAGATGTGGAAATTTTTCACTATGATTGGGGTCTTCCTCTTCACTGTGGCCACTGAAAATATGCCACTTTACTTAAAGGGCCACTAATTTTATTACTGGCAAAGATAAATTCGAGTGTACAGAATTCCAGTGTGCCTCCATCATTTCTCCATCTGGATTCAATCGCACGCTTTGTTTTAAGCAACTGAAAACTATAAACTTTCCTAAGTGAATTTGTTGGCATCAATACCAGAATCACTCTGCTTCTGCCCAGAAATAACAGAGATGTGTTATCACCTCTCTGTCAATTCACTGTTTCCCAAATAAAAAAACACTCGGCTATTTCACTGAAACTTCTGGAAACAATAAGAGGCATAATAGGCAAAATTATCTCCCCAAATTTATCTATAAATTGAATGTACTCTAATCAAAACCCGAAGTGAATTTTTCAAATAAAATTCAACAAGCTTATTCTAAAGTTCATCTGGAAAAATAAATATTCAAGATTTGAAACAAATGTTTTGAGAAAGAATGATGTTTGAACTGGGGAGGGGCAGGGTGAGCCTGGAGATCAGAACTTACCTCTCAAAACATACAAGGAAACCATGGAAATTTAAACAGTGCAATGGTGGCACACAGAGAGACCACTAGGTACAGAGTCCAGAAACAGAAGCATGGAAATTATGTAATAAAGGTGGCATTTCAAATCAGTAGGGAAAGAATGTTCTACTCAATAAATAGTTTTGAAACAATAGCTCTCCATGAGGGACAAAAACATTCTTCATTTCAAGCAGTTAAATTCCCAATTAATGTAAAATTGGACATAACTCATAAGTACCTAAAATAGAAGACTATCTAACATTATTCATTATTGAACAAAATGGTAGCAATTAAAGATATCTATATTTCATCTATATGGACACCACTCTAATGTATCAACAGATTCTCATTTTTCCTCTTTCCTTCCAGTCTTTGTTCAATGTACAGCTAAAAATTACAGAGCTATACTCATGGCATAAATACACGTCACATATGACTATGCTTTGCTCTCTTCTGTGAAAAAAAAAAATTCCATGTTGTTACAATCTATGGCACTATTTTTAATTGCATTCCATCAAGTATTTGATGCTCTGTGACTTAATAATATACCCTATTGTACATTAAGGGTATTTGTAGTTTAACATTACAAAAAAATACTACAATAAACATTTTCATGTACGTTGTTTCTATGCTTTAAATCACTTTTTAGAATAAAATTCCAGAAATGGTCCAAGAATGTGAAGAATTGTCACAAATTGCAAAACTGCTTTCCAAAAATGTTACATCAACTTTCATCACAACCTGTACTGGGCAAGCGTATTATTTTCATCCCAGCTTTGCCAAAACGGTCTTTTTTAGTATATCCTAAATTAACAGATAATAAACAGTCCTCATTGATTTCATTTGTATTTTCCATTGCCACTGAAATTTATTGCCCACTTTTATAAAAGTCTGTTACTAACAGGTGCCATCGTTGTTAGTGGCCTGATTAAATTTCTACTTATAGGATTCTAGTTGTTCCTCTTTTATTCACCTTGGCCTTAAGCAGATCAAAATTTCCACTTTCCCAAGTGAACCAAGTGAGATCAGCATCAGGATCATCCCCTTTCCCCTCTGAAGAGTGAAGGTGCACCGCCTACCGCCTTCTCATGGCCAAATAAAAAGCACTCGGCTACTCCTGCAAGACCTCTGAAGGTCAAGTAACGTGGAAACAGGAATGACAAATGTAAACAAGAAAAGCTGAACTGAGTATAATCATACTAAATATACCTCAATATAAGCTCAAACAAAAAACATCAAGTAAATTACACCAACATTTTTTTTCACCATCAAGCAGCCCCCTAGATAAATTCTTCTTGCAAAACTTATCAATAATTCTCAAAGACCAAGCTTTCTGCATGAAATGCTACAACATTTATGAAT